TGGCCGAAACTCCCTGGTCGGAATCGGGCCCCACACGGCGACTGCTCAGCTTGCGCGGACGGCGTCCAGACCTCACTGTGATTACTTTCTCGGTGCCACGGGAACCTCCAGAGCTGCCCCGTCTGGACAATTACTCAATATGAATACTACTCTCCCTCTTCCCCTGATGACGGTTTGAAAGTGTCCGACCCCCCACGCGTACTGTCTTTTTACACACAGGTTTCCCCGGAGTTGGGTTTTCGCCTGCATTTTTTCCCAAAATGCTGCTCTCGCTGAGGCGCCGGCCTCATTTTCGGGCCCCGCTCGTTCCGAATCGTGCTCCCGCTGCAGCGCTGGCCTCATTTCCGTGCTTCCGCTCGTTCCGAATCGTGCTCCCGCTGCAGCGCTGGCCTCATTTCCGCGCTTCCGCTCGTTCGACTCGTGCTCCCGCTGCAGTGCTGGCGTCATTTCCCGTGCCATGCCACGGCATGCAATGCAATGCTAGGTTGATACTACGCTTCGCGGTGCTCTTCTACGCCATGCCATGCCGTGCTCTACAATGCATCGCGTACCCTTTCGGGATCATTGCCCTGCTCGACATCCGACTGTGCGAGTAGAGAGGGGATCTGCGCCATGGTAAGGGATGGGAGGGAGGGGTAGGATGTCATATATGACGCGAGCACACCTAGCTTGTCTCTTCCCCCTCCCTCCCCTTCACGCCTGCCGCCCCGTCCATCTTCCTCCCCTCCTCCACAATTACTCATATCAATACTACTGGTACTACTCTCCTCTCACCCCCGACTACGTCCTAAAAGTGTCCCGCCCTTTCCCCGCACTGTTTTACACATGAGTTCGAAAGTCTGGGTTTCATATCGTTTTTCAATCGGAACACTGTCAGGGCTTCAAAATGGTGCTCCCACAGCAGCGCGGGCCTCATTTTAGGATCGACCGCTTGCTCCTGTCATTGAAACGGCGCTCTGGCCCCGACGCGGGCTGCCTTCCTGGATCCAAATCCATCCTCATAGTTGCCTCCCCGCTCCTTCCCCTTCGTCCGCTTTCCCCTGCTCCTCCTGCTCCTCCCGCTCCTCCCACTCCAGCTCCTGCTGCTGCCGCTCCTCGTCCTCCTCCTCCTCCCCTTCCTCCTCCTCCTCATCATCATCATCATCATCCTCGTCCTCATCCTCCTTCCACCTCCTCCTCCTCCTCCTCCTCCTCCTCCTCCTCCTCCTCCTCCTCCTCCTCCTCCTGCTCCTACTCTTCCTGTTCCTCGTCCTCCTCCGTTTCCTCTTGCTCATGCTGCTACTCATCTGGCACCTCCTCCCCCTCCTCCATTGTAAGCATCTCCCTATTTCTAAATGTGCATGATACGCTGCATGACACCCGTCACAGGATAGAGACAAATCAGCGGTAGAGTGGGAGGGATAGGATGTCATGGCGCAAGCGCAACTAGCTTATCTCCTCCGCTCCCTTCCCCTCCTCCTCATCATCCTCCTCTTCCTCCTCGTCCGCCTCCTGTCCTCCTCCTCCTGCTCCTCATCCTCCTCCTCCTACTCCTCCTCTTATGCTCCTCCTCTTCCTCCTCCTTCTCCTCATCCTCTTCCTCCTCCTCCCTGGCCAGGGGGGGCGAGACGATTGGGTTGACGGAGTAGTCGTTTCAACGTGACTGGCTCCAGCAAGCCCCCCGCGGCGTCCGTTTAGATCGTGCCCGCAGCTCCTAGAAATCCCACCAGACTTCTGGGCGTAGGTGCTTTAGCGGGTTCGTTGTCCCAACCTCCTTCATCCCCTTCGGGGAGGGGCAACCCTCCCCCCACTCCCTGCCCAAAGGTCGGGACCAGGGTGACGCGACGAGTTGCCCAAGATGGCCCAAGATGGCTCCAACAGGGCCTCAGATAGCCCAAGATGGCCGCAAAGATGGCACAACAAAGCAAAAGATAGTTCAAGATGGTCAGCACAAAAATGGCTCCAAATGGCCACGAAGCCTCTCAAGGACGCCTCTGAGAAGCCAAACAAATGCAAAAGTGCTTCAAGCGTGTCAGTGATGTTGTGCCTGGTCGCCTGTTCGATGTCGATGGGCTTCCGAGGCCTCAGGTGTTTTCAAAATCGCGTCAGACGGCTCCAAGGCGGCCCATAAAGGGTCCAGGTGGATTTCCGCCCATAAAGGCTCCAGGATGGCAACAAGATCGCCCTAGAACGCCAACGAACCCCAAATTGGCTCACGATGGCTTTCAAGATGCCTCCAAGACGGCCCCAAGACGGCTCCAAGTGGCCTCGGAGCCTCCCAAGAGAACTCCCGACATGCAACAATCGTTCAAAAAGCCATGGTCTTGCAATGAGCTTGACCGTCTCACCTGGCTTCCGAGGACTCAAGATGGCTCACAAATCGCCCAAGGCAGCTCCAAGGAGAACCCATAAAGGCTCCAAGACTGCCCAAAGAGCGCTCAAGAGCACACCAACAGCGCCGCAAGGTCTGAGAGACCAGTTGTCGGGCTCCGACATGGGGACTGCAACTGGTACCACCCATTCGCACAAATCCGAAATCCTTGGAAAGCATCTGGTCTTTGAAAGATCCTGGCTCGTAGATGGCCGAAGGCACCTCAAGATGGTGCCAACATCGCCCAAGAGAGCCCAAAGAGGGTGCCATAAGGTCACCACGACGGCCCATAATAGCGCCCACGAGCGCCCAACGAGCGTCCGAAGAGGGCCACGACGGGGTGGGGCTAATGTAGGACCTTCCCATGTTTGGCTCGCTGTCTCCTGGATGGCCCCAAGATTGCCCCGCAGGCCTCCAAGAGAGGCCCAAGAGAGCCCCAAGAGGGCCCCAAGAGAGGCCAAAAGGCCTCCAGACTGGCCCGAGAATGCTCCAACATCAAAGATCCTCGAAGACTTTGATTGTTTGACTCATGGATCTGATCAGGCTGATCTCTAAGACTTCGGTTTGACGGTTGTCCCACTCTTTGTTCTACTGATTGCTCCTTGAATTTCCTGATCACCACGATCCGCTGGGGCATCGTTTCTGGATGGGCTGGCGGGTACACGCGAAGCTTCCAGAATATGGCTTGGTCGCAATGTCGTGTATTTGTCTCCGACGGCTTCATACCCTCTGAGTCTTTCGATGGCAAGGGACGTTGGGGGACAATGTTGCATCCACTTTGCGACCGTTTCGCTTGCCAAGATCCTGCGCATGGAGCTTTCACGAGTATGGTTCGTGACCCCTCTTCGCCGCAGGTTGGTGCCAACTTGTTGTTTCCGACGGTTCCATACCAGCCCATGCATTTACTGCTTGGACTTGTTTCTGTGGCATGGGACGCTGGGGGCTGAAACTGCTATCACTTTGCGTGGTGGGGGTTGGGGTAAGAAGCTTTCCAAAACACCCCGGAGCATTGCGTATCTGCGGCAAGATGGGGCAGATACACTCCAGGACTAGCTCCACCTCTCCTCCCCCCTCTCTTCCACCCTCCTCCCCCCTCCTCCTCCCTCCTCCTCCTCCTTCTCCTCCTCCTCCTGCTCCTCCTCCCCCATTGCTTTTCCTCATGAGTAACTCCTCCCTGTCGCACCCCCTGGTCAGTCGAAGGGCGGGCCGGGCGTTTCGCCTGAGACTTCCTTACCGTTTATGGCCCTGAAACTCAAACGGACAGCTTCACAGATGGATGGTGGGTCGCGTCCACAGAGTGGCTCCGGCCTTAGCGCCGCGCACATTATTGCCCAAAAAAATGCAAGAGCGTCACAGGGTGTGGGCGGCTCGTATTCAAAATGCGGCTCTCGCCTCAGCGCCGCGCACATTCGTTCTAAAAATGTGCAAGAGCTTCACGGATTAAAAGCGGGCCATTTTCAAAATGTGGCTCTCGACTTAGCACCGCGCACATGTGTTTCGAACATCTGCAAAAGTTTACCCGGTTGAAAAGGTTCACGTACCAAAAATCGTGCTTGGACACGGTGTCATAATGTGTTAGGGCGCAACGGTTTCGTTGACTCACGGCGTGAAGTCCAAGGAATGGCGTTCTGGCACCATTCAGGGTCGTCATGACGAAACAATCAGGTTGACTCGTAGCGTTGAAGTCCTGAGAATGGTGTTTGGGTACACGTCTGAATTTTCATACGGTTGTTCCAAGCGAGGCACTTCCATCAGTGGGAATGAACCGTTGTGGGGGCCTATGGAGAGGGAGCTTAGAGGGAGGGTGTACTCTAATATCGATGATGAGTCTCGGGTTTACACTGGTCCCCCTCCTCCTCATCTTCCTCCTCCTCCTCGCTCTGTCTCTCTCTCTCTCTCCTCTTTCTCCTCCTTCCTTTGACAACCACCATTGGCCTCACAAGGAGGAGGGGGGGAGGAGGAGGAGGAGAAGGAGGACGATGAGAACAACGAGGACGAGGACAAGGACGACCGCCACAGACTCCACCTCCTCCTCATCATCATCCTCCCTGTGAGGCCAATCGTGGTCCCCACGCGAGGAGGAAGAGGAAAAGGAGGAGGAGGAGGCCGCCTGAGGCCCCACCTGCGAGGACCACCATAGGGCCTCACAGCCCTGGCAGCTTCCATCACTGGGGCTGCTGGAGCCCCGCTCCCACCAGTCCAGTACTGTGGACGCCATGACAATGGAAACTCGAACAGCCCTATCATGTAATCGAACATGGTTTTAATTCAAATATTCTGAAAATGCGTAACCCATGCGTACAACATGCTTCTACATGCTTGACATGTTTGAAACATGTCTTAGGCATCTGCAAAATACTTGGCAACATGCCTCCTCTCCCTCCACAAATCCAACATGCCGTCATTGGCAACATGCTTCCGAAGGGGCCGAGGTCCTCCCTACGGTCCCTCGGCCAACGAAGGCGACGGTAGCGGACAGGCCAACGTACCTGCACAGCCTGAAACCTCGTACCTCGAGGCGCTCACTGCCTCTGCCCAGTGTTACCTCGTTCCGTTCCTCCTAGTACCTGGAGGCGGCAACTGCCACCGCCCAGTGCGTCCCCCCTCCCTCGCCCTGCACGGCTCCGACAGCCCCCTTGCAATGGCCAGGCCTTCAAGTCCCCCAGGTCGGTGCGCCTCAGGGTCTCCGGCGCGCAGTTCACCTACAAGGACGAGGCAAGCAGAAGGAGGGAGGAGGGGGTGAGAGAATGAGGAGTATGAGGAGTGGGAGGGGGAAATGGAGATTGATGGCGTGAGACATGGAGGTATCGAAAGAACGAGGGAACGAGAGAGTCAGGAAGTGATGGGGGGTGAGGGAGTCAAGGAGTGAGACAGGAGGGATTCAAGGATCGAGGGAGGCGGGACGAGGGACGAGGGACGAGAGAGGAAAGGAGGACGAGAAGGACGAGGAGGACGAGAAGGACGAGGAGGAGGAGGAACAGGAGGGAGGAGGAGGAGGAGGAGGAGGACTTGGAGGAGAGACAAGGGAAGAGAGAAAGATGTAGGCATGAAGGACGGGGGGACAGGGGGACGGAGGGACGTAGAAACGGAGGGCGGAGGGAACAAGAGAGGATGGAAGACGGTAAAAAAGAGAATGAGGGAGTGAGGCAGGAGGAAAGAACCCTAGAAGGCAGGAACCGTAAAAGGGGGAGAAAAAAGGGATGAAGGAGGAGGGAAGAGGGAGACGTGCAGAGAGTTAGAGAGGACGAGGGGAGGAGGGAAGGAGATGGTGAGAGAGGAGGGGGATGATGGGATTAGGCGAGTTCTGGAGTGAGGGAGGGGGGGAGAGGAGGCAGGACGGAGGAGGGAGGACGGAGGACCTATCTCAGAACCCCTCGGGCCCATACAAGCTCCTTCTAACCCCTAAACCATCATCCCACTGCCTCCTCCTCCTCCTCCTCCTCCTCCTCCTCCTCCTCCTCCTCCTCCATCCCTTGTCCTTATAAATAACTCCTCCCTGTCGCACTCCGAGGCGTGTGGGTAGGGCGGGCCGGGCGTTTGGCATAAGACTTCCTCACCTCGTAAGATCCTAGAGCTTGAAATCTGATACAGCTTCACAGATGTAGGGAGATGATTTCAAAATGTAGCTCTCGCCATAGCGCGCAGCGCACATTCGTCTGAAAAGCTCACTGCCGCTTCAAGGACGGAGGGGGTCAAAATGTGGTTCGCGCCTTGACGCCGCATCCGTTCTAAAAGCCCCCCTCCATATTGCAAAGATGGATGAGAGCCGCTTTCAAGATGGAGCTCAAGCCTTAGCGCCGCGCACACTCATCTTAAAATTTACAACAGCTTCAAAGATGGGAGTGGTGTTTTGCGAAATGAGGCTATCGCCATAGCGCCGCGCACATCCGTTTTCAAAGCTCGCAACGATTTGAATGATGGAGGGCGGCTCCTTTTCAAATCTGGGCTCTGGCCTTAGCGCCGCGCACATTCGTCCTAGAAACTTGGGACAGTTGCAGTGGGCGGCTCCCTGTCAGATTGAGGCTCTCGCTGGACGCTCCTTCAATTTTTCGCCACCAGGAGCTTGAGCATGTGCAACAGCTGCACAACCGAAGGCGGCTCATCATTAAGATGGGGCTTTCGCGTGAGACTTCCTCGCGGCGCTCATGGCCAGAAGCGAAAAAAAGTACGAACTCCGAGTGAGGGGGCCGATACTTCTACGCAGAAGGGAGGCACTCCCTTGTCTCCCGACGCGGATATATCGCTCGGCACCTCGCGGAACTGCACGGCCACACCTTCGCGCTTCCATCGGCCGGACCTGGGACAGGAGAACATCCTTCAAGAGCACGAAACCCTCCGCTGGCCGCAACATCCCAAAACCATAAGATCACTCGAGGGTACCCTCCCCCGGGATGCACAAGAACATACGACGGACACGAGGATCACTATGGAGCCCTCTCCGAGTCGACCTCGATCTGCTCTCGCGGTCCGCCTGTACTCGCTCGACGGATCCGAGGCAACTGGTTTCTTTTCAAAACGGGGCTCTCGTCTGAATGGCAGGCCCGTGCGGCGTTGGTCTCTCGAGCGGCTGCTTCTCTTTCGTGGGAAGGAATACCAGAAGGGACCTGTGAGGAGGGGAAGGGTGCACTGCAGCATCTCTGATGCATCTTGGGCTTACTCTGGACCTCCTTCCTTTTCCCCTCGTCATATTCCTCCTCCTCCTCCTCCTCCTCCTCCTCCTCCTCCTCCTCCTCCTCCTCCTCCTCCTCCTCCTCCCTGCTCATCCCATTCCATTCGACGCGCAGGGAGGAGGAAAGAGGAAGGAGGAAGGAGGAGACGTTGGCAAGCCGCTCGCCTCGAAAGAGTCGGCGTGAAGGGCCGTGGCGGTGAGGCAGGTGCCGTTGACCGCGATGCTACACTGCCGGGAGCGAAGCTCACATCCTCCCTCCGTCCTCCTCCTCCTCCTCCTCCTCCTCCTCCTCCTCCTCCTCCTCCTCCTCCTATTACTCATACTCCCCCTCCTCCTCCATCCTTTTCCCTTATACATAACTTCTCCCTGTTGCACCCCGAAGCCAGTTTGTAGGGCGGGCCGGCGTTTCGCCTGAGACTTCCTCACCATGCATGGCCCTGGAGTTTTAAAATTGACAACAGCTTCACAGATGGAGAGCGGGTCGCTTTCAAAATATGGCTTTCGCCTTAGTCCCGCGCACATTCGTTTTAAAAATTGCTCGAGCTTCACGGATTAAGGACGGGTCGTTTTCAAAATGTGGCTCTCGCCGTAGCGCCGCGCACATTCGTTCTACAAATTTACAAGAGCTTCACGGATTGAGGGCGACCCGTTTTCAAAATGTGGCTCTCCTCTTAGCGCGAAGCACAGTCGTTTATAAAATTTGTCAGAATGAGGGGGCTAAACCGAACGGTCATTCACTGTCCCTGGGCGCGTGGCTGAAGTGGAATGCCGCGATGCGGATTATTGTTGTTGTTGTTGTTGATTGTTGTTTGTTGTTTGTTGTTTGTTGTCGTCGTCCCACCCGCGACCCGCCCCGCGACCCACCCGCAACACACCCCGCGACCCACCCGCGACCCACCCGCGACCCCACCCGCGACCCATCCCACCCGCGACCCATCCCGCGACACACCCCGTGACCCACCCGCGACCCACCCGCGACCCACCCCGCGACCCACCCCACGACCCACCCCGCGACCCACCCGGCGACCCACCCCGCGACCCACCGGCGACCCACCCGCGACCCACCCCGCGACCCACCCCGCGACCCACACCCCGCGACCCACCCGCGACCCACCGCGACCCACCCGCGACCCACCTGCGACCGACCCAATTGTTGGCTGCTGCGGCGGGTTCTTTTGCATTCGTTCCAGGTGGAGAACCTGCGACCCACCCGTGACCCAAACCGCGCCCGCGACCCACCCGCGACCCACCACGACCCACCCGCGACCTACCCGCGACCCACCCCGCGAGCCACCCAAAATTTTCGGCGACTGCGGCGGGTTTCTTTTGCATTCGTTCCAGGTGGAGAACCTGCGACCCACCCGCGACCCAAACCGCGTTCACTGTACAAATCAAAATGATCGGCGCCTGCGGCAGGCTGTTTTTGAATTTCCTTCAGGTGGAGGTGGAGAGCCCGCGACCCACCCGCGACCCAAACTACGTTCACTCAACATGCAAAAACTTCAGCGCCTGTGACGGGCTTCTTTTGCATTCGTTCCAGGTGGAGAACCTGCGACCCAAACCGCGTTCAGTGCACAAATCAAAATATTCGGCGCCTGCGGCGGTCAATGTTTGAATTCCTTCCAGGTGGAGGTGGAGAGCCCGCGACCTTCCCGCGACCCAAACTGCGTTCACTGAACAAGCCAAAAATTCGGCGCCTGCGGCGGGCTGTTTTTGCATTCGTTCCGGGTGGCACCCTGCGCGTCCTGTTCCGAGGAGGAGGAGGAGGAGGAGGAGGAGGAAGAAAACGAAGAGGAGGAGGTGGAGGAGGAGGAGGAGGAGGAGCAGGAGGAGGAGGGCGCCCTCGACAGGGAAGGTGAGAGCCGCGAGGTCCGCCGGCTCGACGCCCGCATCGCCCGCGCCCGCCCCCTCACTCTTATCCGCAATTGCGGTGTGCGACGTGTAAGTTTCACGGGCTCCCGTGATCAGGGTTCAGAATGTTGCGGGCGCAACACGTACGATGATTCGTGGTGTTGTAGTCCCAAGGATGGCGTTCCGGCACGGTTCAGGATCGTCAAAACGCAACAGTCAGGTTGATCCGAGGCGTTGGAATCCCGAGAACAGTCTTGGTCTTCAAACGGTTGTCTTCCAACAAGGCATTTCCCTCAATGGAAATGAACCGTCGCAGGGGCCTCTGAAGAGGGAGCTTGGAAGGAGGGTTTATCCCAACATCGTTGGGGACTCTTGCGTTTACACTGGTCCTCCTCCTCCTCCTCCGCCTCCACCTCCGCCTCGTTGTTCCTCTCTCCTCTTCCTCCTCCTCCTCTTCATCCTCCTCCTCCTCCTCCTCTTCCTCCTCCTCCTCCTCCGCCTCCTCCTCCTACGCCTCGTTGTTCCCTCCGCCGCCTCCTCCTCATCCTCCTCCTCTTCCTCCTCCTCCTTTCTCTCCTCCTCCTCCTCCTCATCATCATCATCATCATCACCACCACCACCACCATCATCATCATCAGCAGCAGCATTAGCAGCAGCAGCAGCAGCATCATCCTCATCATCATCATCATCATCATCATCATCATCACCATGATCATCATCATCATCAGCATCATCATCATCATCATCATCATCATCATCATCATCATCATCATCATCATAACCCTCCTCCTCATCATCCTCCTCTTCCCCCTCCTCCCCCTCATCCGCCTGCTCTTGCTCCTGCTCCTGGTCCTGCTCCTGCTCCTGTTCCCCCTTCTCCCCCTCCTCCCCCTTCTCCTCCTCCTCTTCCTCCTCCTCCTGCTCCTGCTCCTGCTCCTGATCCCGCTCATGGTCCTGCTCCTGCTCCTGCTACCCCTCCTCCTCCTCCTCCTCCTCCTCCTTCTCATCCTCCTCCTCCTCCTCCTCCTCTTCTTCCCCCTCTTCCTTCTCTTCATCATTATCCTACTCCTTTTCCCCATATTCCTCTGCTTCTTACTACGCATAATAGTATGATTAGTTTGACAACGATAATGTTTCGTCTGTGCAGTTTGTTATTAGTGTTGTGATATATCTTAGTAGCTCTAATGCTATATGTCGTAGTAGCACCCGCATGCGTATTATCCGTATGAGTCGTCAGAGGTTTTCGGTGTTCAAACCATTGCGTTTGGTAGTGCGTGCATGAATAGTAGCGTCAGTATCCTCATGGTTCACCAAATTCTTAGTATTCGTGTTCGCTTTCTCAATATTAGCATACGTCGTCTGTGTAGTCCTAGTCGCATTCCTCTTGTTAGCATTAGTCAGGGTCTTCTTAGTATGACTATTTATCTGTTCGTGGTATGTATATTCCTCTTCGTATCAGCACTCGTAAAAGTATGAGCAGCCATAGTAGTATTGATAGTAGTAGTAGATGTACGAGTCGTGTCAAAAGTCTCCTCGTTGTCGTATTACTCTTCTCCGCTCGATTAGTGTCAGTACTACGGAAACAGATAACAGTACAAGTGGTAGCATGAGTATCCTTAGCAGTGTAAGTCATAGTATCACTAGTAGCGTTGAAAGTGTTAGCATTGGTAGTATTAGTAGTAACGTTACTGTGACGATAATGGCTAGTAGTAGTGATATTAGGCGGGCGTGGTCTTGCAAGCCCGGCTGGGCCAGGACATGTTGGTCGATACTTCTAAAGAGAAAAACAACACGCGTGCCGCCGCTGCCTCTGTCTGCGCCTGGGAATATGTCTCTGTTTGGATTTCTCTTTCTCTCTCTCTCTCTCTCTCTCTCGCTCTCGCTCGCTCTCTCTCTCTATCGCTCCCCGCGCAGCCGCTGCCCAGGTAAGCCACCCTGCCCCCCCCGCCCGAGACCAAGCCAGGCGCGCCCCGATCTGCCCAGGCTCGCACCCCCCAGCAGCCCACATCTTGCGGGGACAGCCTGGTAGGCGAAGCCTATCAGGGCCCAGGCCCCCTGCGCGCGATGTTCTCGCCCGAGGCTGGGTCCGCGAGGGCCAGAAGCCGGCAGCAACCGCAGATCTATGTCTGTCCCGCGAGAACAGGCGTTCCTGCTGTTTGGGCCGTTTCTCGTCAGCTTTCAGTGGACGCTGCTGCCCACCGCCGCCCCCCCCGCCGCCATCTCGCCACGAGGGCCCCCTGCTGTCGTGCCGCCGATGACCCTCCCGGAAGGTGGGGCCACCCGTGCTAGGCCTATCCGTGAATCGGCCTGCCTGAATTTGGGGTTGCTGGGCCCCACGCAGCGCGCCCTCATGCACGGTGCTCATTTGCTTAGAACCGTATATTGTAAATATACAGACCTGGTTTTCAGCCTCAACCACTTCATTTGCAAGAATTCGTTGTACAGTGATTGCCCCTTTGGCAGATTTCTCCCTCCCTGAACCCTCATCACTCAAAACTACAGAGACGAACAGGATTCCTCGTTCTGTACTCAGGACGACAATCACTGTAGTCAGAATCCTGTGCAAATAAAGCGGCCTTCGCAATTTCCGTGAGCGCCCCAATCTCGGAGCCGTTCATAAAGCAATTGAGAAGTTTTGACCAGGGTCGCGGTGCGAGACCTCCTGGAGGCCGCCTGGGTCCTCTCCTATGGGGCTCCTAGGAGCCTCCTGGGGGCCTGGGTCCTATTGGGAACCTCATCTCTTCTCTCAGAGTCACCCCCGAACTGTCTTGGAGCGACTCCTGGCTGGGATTACGCAAGGCGCGGCGACGAGGGTCGCCCCACCCCTCACCCCCCTCATTGGGCGCGGAACACGTAGAAGCAACTCCTTCTCCTCCCCCTCCTATTCATCCTCCTTCCCCCAGACGTCGAGAACTCTTCCCGACCCTATGAGAAACACCACCAAAACTCTGACAGCCTGTCCTCGCCCACGCGCGCGCCCCTGGTGCGGCGGCGGGGAGGGCCCCGATGTAGGCATCTTTCAGGGCGATCGAGCACTTTATTCGGAGGACGAAGCCCTCCGACTTCGACCCGTCCCACATCTCGAGGTCGGCCTGCGGGGAACCCCAAGGTGGCCCCCGCGCTGCCACAATGGCAGGGGCGGGACAGGCCCAGCATGAGGGAGGGGGAGGAGGAGGGGGAGGAGGAGGAGGAGGAGGAGGAGGAGGAGGAGGAGGAAGAGGAGGAAGAGGAGGAAGTGGAGGAGGAGGAGGAAGAGGAGAAGGAGGAGGAGGAAGAAAAGGACGGGGAAGAGAAGGAGGGAGGAGAAGACGGAGGAAAAAGAAAAGAAGAAGACGAGAAAGGGGTGAAGAGAGGAAGAGTAGGAGGAAGAAGAAGAAGAAGAAAAAGAAGAAAAATAAGAGGGGGAGGTGGGGAGAGGAGAGGGAAGAGGAGCAAGAGGAGGAGGAGGAGGAGGAGGAGAAGGAAGAGGAGGAAGAGGAGGAGGAGGAACGGAGGAGGAGGCGGAGGGAGAAGGAGGAGACGGAGGAGAGAATGCAGCGCCGCGGGAGGCAGGGCATCAATAAGGAATGATGTTGCTGCGCGAACTCGCTCAACAATCAATGCGGGGTACTGGCCGAATGTCGCAAGGGCGCGTCTTGCCTGTTCCCCCTGCCATATCCGGTCCTCCAGAAAACAGGAATCGGGCCGCTTCCCACGGACTAAGCTGACGAACTGTTCTGTATTCCTAGAAATCGCTCGCACAACCGAAACATGCACATGCATGCGTTGAGAGGCCCACTGTGCAGGTAGAAACTTCTCCGGGTCAATGTTGAATAACTATCCTAAGGGTCAGTGAGGAACTGGACAAGGAACTGTTCCAGTTCTGGTTCCGGTTGGGTTCCGGTTCCAATTCGCCTCCAGCCTGGCGGACGGGGGGGGCTTCCCAGTTTTCGTTCCGGTTGACCCACTGAAGGCTGGTGCACTGGAAAAGGAACTGGAACTGGAATTGTTCTGGTTCCTGTGTCGATTCTGGTTCCGGTTCCCGTTCCGGTTCGCCTTCAGCTGGGCGTATGGGGGGGTGGTTCGATTCCGCCTCCGGTTCTGGTTCCGGATCGCCTCCAGCCCGGCGTGGATAGGGGCGCTGGTTTCGGGTTCTGGTCCCCGTTCCGGTTCACCCATTTGGGGCTGGCGAACTGGAACAGGAACTATAATGGAATTGGAACTGGAACTGTTCCGGTTCCGGTTCCGGTTTCGGTTCCAGTTCGCCTCCAGCTCGGCGTGGGGGGGGGGGGGCGTTCCGGTTCAGGTTCCGGATCCAGTTGACCCACGGGGTCCAGTGAATTGGAACTGGAAGTGGAACTGGAAATTGAGCTGAAACTGTTCCAACTCGGGTTCCAGTCCCGGTTCCGGCACGCCTCCACCCTGGCGATGGGGGGAGGATGGTCCCGTTCCAGTTTCAATTCCCGTTCTGGTTCACCCACAAAGGGCCGGTGAACTGAAACTGGAAATGGACCTGGATCTGTTCCGCTCTTATTCCAATTCCGGTTCCGGTCCTGGTTCCAGTTCCAGTTCGAGCCGCCTCCAGCTTGGAAGGGGGCCAGGGGTTCTGTTTCTGGTTCCAGTCCACGTTCCGGTTCAGGGTCTGGTTCTGGTTCACCCACCAACGGCAGGTGAACTGGAATTGGAACTGTCACTGGAACTGGAACTGGAACTGTTTTGGTTCCGGTTCCGGTTTCGGTTCTGGCTCGCGTCCAGCCCAGCGCGGCGGTGGCGGGGGCATTCTGGTCATGGTTCCGTTTCTGGTTCGAAGTCACCAGCCAATGGCCGGCGAACTGGAACTGGAATTCCGGCACTGGTTCGCCTCCAGCATGGCGGCGGGGGGGGGCATTCCAGCAGTGGCTCGGGTTCCAGTTAACCAGGGACCGGTGAACTAGAACTGGAACTGGAACCTGAACTGTTCTGGTTCCGACTCCTGTTCTGGCTCCCGTTCCAGTTCTGGTTCGCCTCCAGCCAGGCATTGGGGGGGGAGATTTCGGTTCTGGTTGCGGTTCCAGTTCCGATTCGCCCCCAGCTGGACGTTGGGGAGAGGGGGGCGATCTGGTGCCAGATCAGTTTGGCGCACCAAGATATCGGCTTCCTCTTCAATGCCTTCGTGAGCTCAGGTTCTCTATTTAGTGCCGCCCGGTACCCGCTGTGTCTGCTCATGGCCATGCTTGTGACCCACTGATTCCATCCTAACCAGTGCCCCCTGGCTTCGTCGATCTCGAGCCTGGTTGCTGCCAGCGCCTCTTAATCGCGACGTGTTTGGTACTCCGCGAGCTCCTAATGGCGGATCATGTCGTCGTCGTCCTACGTGGGCTCTGCGTCGCTGGAGTCGCTTTGCGCTTCATCTTGCGCCTCCGTGAACGCACGTTTGGCTCTGGCACATCCATGTCTTCGTGCATGTTGGTCTCCTCGACGGCCTCGTACATTGCTCTGGCCTCGCTGGTGATGAGTGGTGCGCAGGACTGCGATGGCATTGGTCTCATCGAAGTTCCTGGCTCCGGATTTCTCCATTTGCGCTTCCATCTGCTCGTGGGCTCCAACGTGCCTCTGTCGGTGATTTTTGTCCTGCGATCACCGACCTCAATCTTGCATCCGTTATCTCGCCATTCGCTCCGTTGGTCGCTGTCCCTGTTCGCCTTTTCCGAGTTGGCGGGGCTTTCTGTGGTTCCAACCGGAGGTTGTTGATGGTGCCCTCTTCCTTGCAGCTTTTGGCATCGTCGGTGGCCGCGTAAGTGTTCTGTCACGGAGTCCATATGTATCCCTGCCTCCACGAGCTCGAGAGCCATGTTCTTGCCTGTCTGCTTTTCGTTGGACATGTGCTTGTTTGCTGCGTCGAGCTCCGTCCTCAGCGCCTCCTCGCCTGCTCGCCTCGATGTAGACGTTCGCGCCGGAATCCTCTTGCTCACTGGCGTCGTGGTCGATCGTCTGATTGAGGAGCAGCCCCTTCTTCTCGCACTACTCTTTGGCAACGTGGATATTACTGTCGCTGCTTGCCGTCAGGTCACTGACGGTCCGTAGTAGCTGCTGCTGTGGATATGTTGAGGGTGTCCACATGTCGGCGGCACTTGGCGATGGCGCCCCTGCTGGCCGCATTGCTCTCGCACTCCCTGTAGATACTGTCCCTTTCTTGCTTGTGGGCCGCCGCCACTGCTTTGTAGTGGGCTTCGACTTGCTCCTCCTTCTGTAGCTTCGTGCCGGGGATATCGGTCAGACGTTTGGTCGCTGGCCGATCCTGGGGATGGTGCCCCTATGCGCCCGACGGGCGGGAGGTCTGCCTGGTCCTGGCGTGCAGTCCTCGTGCCGTCGTTGGCTTCCAAATTGCCCCCGTCCCTGGTGATGTCGTCCCTCACCTGGGTGTATCCGTCCAGCTTCCGATTAATCTTCGTGATGTACATATGAAGTTGACGTTGACGAAATGTCATTGGGCATTGTTCATCGCCTTCTTGACGGTCCTCATGTGCTCCGCGAAAGGCCATTGATGGGGTAACTGTTCTGGAACATGGCCTGAATGAGGTCGATCCTGGTAAGTGCATCCTTGATGGGGAGCTGTGCCAACTTATTTCTGGTGGCGACAAGGGCATTAGGCCGCATCATATGTAGCTTGTTGGCCCTCCAAGTGGCGCGCACGTGTGGCGCTCACCATGTGTCTTCCTAAAGCTCATGCTTGGCAGCGCCCCTCTTTCTCATGGGGATGACGTCGTTGATGATGGTGTCCATGTCGCACTGCGCTCTGTGGAGGGATGTTCGATAGTCCCCGCAGCCATCCTCCTTCTCTAGCTTGGTGATCATGCTCTTCTCCTTCGGGTTGTTGTTCCAGCCGTTGTTCCAGTCACAGCAGGGATTGTCCTTCCACCTGGCAAATCCTGCACAGACGGCTGGTTTTGGTCGCGTTGGTAGTTTAGGGAATCACTATACTCGTGGTTGCCACTTGGGTGGTGGCTTAGATGCTGGCTTCGGCGCCATGGTGGCTGCCTGAAGTCGGCACCATGGTGGCTGCCATGGTGGCTGCCTGTGGTGAGCGCTGGGTAGGTCCTGCGCTCTGGCGATGAGCAGCAGGACTCGCGCGTCGGCACGCGCGTTGCGGAGACGCCTGTGCCAGGCTGGGCTGCCAGAACGCGTGTTGGATGTAGGCGTGGCCGATCGCCAGGGAGCGAAAGCAACTTTTGCCGAAGTTGACGTTCAAACTGTTACAGGCCGCTAGGCCGCGTTTGCCCGCCACCGCGCAAGCTGAGTGCGTGTCCTTCGGGAAGCGGCCAGTTCGGGCGCACGCGGCTCATCATCAGCATGAGCATCATCATCATCATCATCATCATCATCATCATCATCATCATCATCATCATCATCATCATCATCATCATCATCATCATCATCATCATCATCATCATCATCATCATCATCTTCATCATCATCGTCATCGTCATCGTCATCATCATCATCATCATCATCATCATCGTCATCATCATCAGCAGCATCATCATCATCAACGTCATCATCATCGTCCTCGTCATCAACATCACCATCACCACCACCATCACCATCACCATCACCATCATCATCATCAACAGCAGCATCATCAGCAGCATCAGCATCAGCATCATCATAACCAGCATCAGCATCATCATCAACAACAGCATCATCACCATCTGCAGCATTATCATCAGCATCAGCATTATCATGATCATCATCATCATCAGCATCAGCATCAGCATCAGCATCATATCCATAATAGTCGTCGTCATCATCATCGTCATCATCATCATCATCTTAATAATCTTCATCACCATCATCGTCATCGTCATCATCAGCAGCAGCATCATAAGAATCAGCATCAGCATCATCATCATCATCATGAGCATCATCATCATCATCATCATCATCATCATCATCATCATCAGCATCATCATCATGATCATCATCATCATCATCATCATCATCATCATCATCATCATCACCATCATCATCATCATCATCATCACCGTCATCATCTAATCCCTCCAGCACCATGGGCACAGGTTGTCTAGCGCATTTCCGTTTCCAACCTCCTTTCTTTCCCTGCTCGGGAGGTTTG